ACCAAACACCAATGTAGAGACACCAGAAATATGATTAAACAAGAAAATATGATACCACCAAAGGAATACAGTAAATCTCAAGTACCAGACCCCATAGAGCAGGAAACCCTTGAAATGACTGGAAAAGCAATTCTGAGCAACAATCTTAGGAAAACTCAAAGAGATAAGAGAAGACTCAATTAGAGAACACAGTGAAGCAGGAAGAAATGTCCAGGATATGAAGGAGGAAATTCAAAAAGAGATTAATGCCATAAAAAAGAATGTGGCAGAACTCCTGGAACTGAAGGATTCATTCAGTGAAATAAAAAAACAACTGAGAGCTTAGGCACCAGGTTAGAGCAAGCAGAAGAAAGAATTTCAGATCTTGAAGACAGTCTTCGAAATAACCCAGGCATAAAAAAAAAAGGAAAAAAAAATTTAAAAACATGAAGAACATTTAAGAGAGCTAGCAGACAACCTTAAGCACACAAACATCTGAATCCTGTGTGTTCCAGAAGGGGAGGAAAAAGGAAAAGGCACTGAAAACTTACTGAACAAAATAATAGCAGAAAACTTCCCAGATATAGAGACATGGACCTTCAGATTCAGGAAGCTCAAAGATCCCCAAACAGATTTAATCTAAAAAGATCCTCTCTTAGACATAGTCTAGTCAAAATGGCAAAGCTCAAGGCTTGAGAATTCTAAAAGCAGGAAGAGAAAAGCATCAAGTCACCCATAAGGGAGCCCCCATCAAACTAACAGCAGACTTCTCAACTGAAACCCTACAGGCCAGAAGAATATTTGATGATATATTCAAAATAGTAAAAGGCTGAGAATCCTATATCAAGCAAGGCTGTCCTCCAGGAATGAGGGAGAAACAGTGTATTTCTCAGACAGACATAAACTGGGAATTCACCACCACACAAATAGCCATTCTTATCAGCACAAGGAACATTCTCCAGGATATACCACATGTTATGTCACAAGTAAAGTTTCAGCAAATTTTTTTTTTTTTTTTTTT